TTGACATTATCTCTGCGTACCTCCTCTTCTTCCTTCTCTTCTTCCCCCTCCTCCTTCTGGGGATTTCCAGAGTTGAAGCGAAGGTTTCCAACCCTCCTTTCAAATTTTTATAGATCTAGTTCCAGTTGGATGTCATACCTCTCCACGATCCACACACACACACACACACACACACACACACACACACACACACACACACACTCCCACCCAACCCCACACTGTCCCGAACTCCTCATCCTTAAAATACATAGCATGTTTCTTTCGCTTACAGACAACATTAAAACGACTTACATACTCGTTTCTTTCTCAAGTTTCGAGGTCCTTCTACGCTCAGCTTCTGGACGCACTGTAAATAAAGTCACCCCACCCCTCCCCCAATCCCCGTTTCTCCCATGATATTCCCCCCCCTTCCATCTCAGGGATAACTTCTGTCTTCTTGCTTCCACTAGCGCCGTCAGTCGCTTTTTATCCCCCCCCCTCCCCCTGTCTGTTTCCCTCAGGGCTGTTTGCTCACTCCCCCTCCCCAACTCCCTTTTCCAACAGCCTCAATCCTCCATACACGCACCCACTTTCTCCTTCTCTCTTGGCTTACTTGAGTCTTCCTCTCTTTCCTTCAACTTCTTCTTTTTTCCCCTCTTCGTGTAGTGAAATAAATGTATTTCTCAAGGGGTCATCGTCCTGAAATGTTTCCAAAATGGCAGATGGCCATCACAGATAGATTGAAGCTAGAAAAATTTTGATTCTCCGGCTGATGTGTTTGTATTCTTGTTCCGCTAAAATCTGTGACGATGCCACAACAGACTAATCCCAGATTACGTGAATATGGGGATTCAATCGATACTGCTGTTCTGTAAGATGAATAGAAAAGTATGATTAGATGTCCTCAGATGAGAGCTAAATTCTCTTCTTCGCTGAGCTTTTCCACGGGCCGTCAAGATTTCTAGTCATAACAAACTAATCGTATTATATGAGTTTGCTAATTTACAGGACATTGAAAAGCTAAGCAGTTGAAGAAAGAAGGGATTTTTTTCCATCACATTTTTATCACTTTAGAAGTACGGTCAAATACATATTGAACCCCCCCC